ATCTCTGATCAAAAGAGGGAAAACACAGATTAGAATTTCAAATTTTCATGGACTTTTCTTGAGCCATGGAGGCTGGAAGAACCCCTGAAACTACTGCCCTGAGATAATATTTAAACCTTAAACCAAAAACATCCCCTGAAGTCTTCCTGAAACCAAACAATAGCTTAACTAGTAAAAAATGTCTGCCTTGAGCATTATGTTCTTTTAAGAACTATTTTATGGGATTAAATTGACAACAGCAACTCAAAAGATTACATAAGAATCTTAGGGGGCAGTAAGTTTATGTTAATGAAGGAGGAACAACTCAGAAAAGGAGAGTGAGAATGGTTGCACAACTCAAAGAACGTAATCAATGTCACTGAAGTGTACATGTAGAAACTTGAACTGGTTATGTTTTGCTGTGTGTATTCTCAACAACAGAATAAATAAATTTTAAAAGCTGTGTCATTCAAATATATACTAAATGCTCCTCTTCGCAAGGTTTGGCTATCCTGGACCATAAATTCAAACATATCATGTGACTCCTGACAGAAAAATATAAAGTATATATGCCAAAAAAGTACAGACTCCACATACAACTCCTAGAAAAAATCTCCAACACGTGGTGAGGGGATATCAGAAAGACTCACAATGACCCAACCATTCCAGAGTCCTTACTACTCATAAAGTTTCACAGAATTTTACGTTAAAGGTTATTCATTTCTTAATTTCCAACTATACTGCAATAAATTGTGGGAGAGTAAGCAGGAAGAAAGTATGAATAATCAAAGGCAACCTTAGTTCTCTTTCAGGGAAATACCAGTATATTTTTTAAATTAACTATGAAATACGCCAAACACACAAAAAGGTAAATAAACCAAACACCTATGTACTCACCACCCAGTTTAAGAAATAAAATATTGCCAAAACAGTTAAAGCCCCTGGTGTACCTCCACCAACTGCATGACATTCCCTTCACCACTTTTCACCTTAAAGATATCCACTCCCTCGAACTTGGTATTTATCATTACCATGCAGTTACGTACACTTTTTACCACACATGTACATATACCTAAACCAATAAATCTCAATGCACGCGGGGAGGGGGGGCTTTTGTCCCCCAAGGGCTATTTGGCAATGTCTGGAGATCTTTTTGGCTGTCACAACTGGGAAAAGGGGTGCTTCTGCATCTAGTGGGTAGAGGCCAGGGATGCTGCTAAACATCCTACAATGCACAGGACAGCCCACTCACAGCAAAGAATTATCCTATGCAGTCCAAAATGTCAACAGTACCAAGTTTGGGAACCCCTGTCCTACAATAAACAGTATTGTTTTGCAACTTAACATACTATAGATTTTCTTTTCAACTTGATTTAACATTCACTTCCTCTTCTGTACAGTTCTCCACTGCATAAATACACACAGTTCATTTATCCATTCTCTTGTTCACAGACATGTAAGTTTTTTTCTAATTTTTTGCTTTTACATACAATGCTGCTATGAGCATTCTTATATAAACCTCTTTCTCCTCAATGAGAGATTCTCTCTAGGGCACCCTTGATTTTCAAAGTGTGGTCCTCAAATCCCTGGGGAACTCCCCAACACCTTCTTAGGGACTTAGTGAGATCAAAAATATTTTCACAATAATCTTAAGATATTATTTGCCTTTTTCATGTTGACATTGCACTGATAATGCAAAAGCAATAGTGAGTAAAACTGCTGTTGTTGTTAGCTGGTGTCAAGCCAGTTCCAACTCACAGCCACCCTGTGTACAACAGAATGAAACAATGTCCAGTCCTGCACCATCTTTATATTCATTGCTATGTTTGAACCCATTGTTGCAGCCACTGTGTCAATTCATCTTGTTGAGGGTCTTCCTCTTTTTCGCTGACCCTCCACTTTACCAAGTATGATGTCCTTCTCCAGAGATTGGTCCCTCCTGATAACATGTCCAAAGTACACGAGATAAAACCTCATCATCCTCGCTTCTAAGAAGCATTCTTGCTGTACTTCTGCCAAGACAGATTTGTTCGTTCTTTTGGCAGTCCACAGTATATTTAATATTCTTCTTCAACACCATAATTCAAATGCATCAATTTTTCTTCGGTCTTCTTTATTCATTGTCCAGCTTTTGCATGCATATAAGGTGATTGAAAATACCATGGCTTGGGTCAGGCAGACCTTAGTCCTCAGAGTGAGACACCTTTGCTTTGGAACACTTTAAATAGGTCTTTTGCAACAGATTTGCCAATGCAATACATACATCCTTTGATTTCTTGACTGCTGCTTCCATGGGCACTGATCGCAGACCCAAGTAAAATGAAATCCTCGACAACTTCAATCTTTTCTCCATTTATCATGATGTTGCTTATTGGTCCAGTTGTGAGGATTTTTGTTTTCTTTATGTTCAGGTGTAATCCATACTGAAGGCTGTAGTTTTTGAACTTCATCAATAAGTGCTTCAAGTCCTCTTCACTTTCAGCAAGGAAGACTGTGTCATCTGCATATTGCAAGTTGTTAATGAGTCTCCCTCCAATTCTGATGCCCCGTTCTTCTTCATAGAGTCCAGCTTCTTGGATAGCTTACTCAGCATACAGACCGAATAAGTATGATGAAAGGATACAACTCTGACGCAGACCTTTCCTGACTTTAAACCACACAGTACCCCCTTGTTCTGTTCAAATGACAGCCTCTTGGTCTATGTACCGATTCCACAAGAGCACAATTAAGTGTCTTGAAATTCCCATTCTTAGTCAAGTTTAATACCATCTTTACGAGACATATGGATATCATGAACCTTCTGATACGACTGATACATTAACAAGGGCATATGGTATTCTTGCCAAAAATACATAATCTGAATTTAATCATGAGGAAACATGAGACAAACCCAATCTGAAGGATATTCTACCATATTATTGGTTAGTACTCTTCAAAAGTGTCATGGACAAAGACTGACTGAGGAACTGTCGGAGACTGGAGGAAACTAAGACATAACAACTAAATGCAATGTGTAATCCTGGACCAGAAAAAGGACACTAGTGGGATAACTGGTTACATGTGAATAAGGTCTGTAAACTAGTTAATAGTATTGTATTAACATTAATTTTCTGGTCTGTAGCGGAACCCTGTTTACTAGTTTTGCAACTTTTCTGTATGTCTGAAATTATTTCAAAATGAAAAGTTAAATTTTAAAAAATGCTACCTATTATATAAATATCAATTACTCCTTACAATACGTATTGAGTAAATCTTACAGAATGTAATAAAATGCTAATGGACACCAATATTAAATAGTTTCAGAAAAAATTATTGACTTGTGGTCAGACATTAGCTTTAGCTAGCATGATAACAAAATTTTAAGAGTGTACAGGAACAAGCATATGCCTCATATGCTGCTGCTAGGTGTGTATATTAGTAAAATGTCTCCAGAGACATTTAGTCAACATCTATCAAAATCGTATGTGTACCCTTTGATGCAGCCAATTCCACTTCTTCAGAAGTACTCAACACATATGTACTCAACAAGGATATACACACTACATCATTATAAACAAGAAGACCTGAAACAACATAAATTCCTATCAATAAAGTACTCCTTAGACAAATCACTGTGTCCAGTCACTAGAATACTATGAAGCCGTGAAAGAATAAGGTAGTCCTACATGTGCTAACACGGAACAATCGTCAATATGTATTAAGTGAAAGAAAACAAAAAGTGCATAAGAATGAATACAGTTTATTACTATTTGTGTGCTTAAAAAGGACAGTAGATTTACGGTATAGTCATACATATGCTTGCAATACATAAAATTATTCTGTAAGAATACACAAGAAACTAGTAACAATGGCTGCCTCTTTTTGTACCATACCTTTTTTTTTCCAGTTTGACTATGTACATACAACTTTTTCAATTTTCAAAAAACTAGCTAATAAAAGAAACACATTTTTATGAATTATTTGCTCAAAAACTGAGTTGGCTTATGTTAATTTAATTCACAATTTATTGTTGCTAACAATAACTATGAAGAAATTTCAAGATTTGTTAAGCTTAGTCAAACTGAATTACAATGCCTTAGTACCTGTTCATTTAGGTATTCTGAAAAGTATCAAATTTTAAATTTGATCTTTATTTAGTAGAGAATATTAAGGATAAGTCTATATGAAAATGAGTAGATTAAAATAAATTAGATGTTTATTTTGTGAGAGCAAACTTGCCGTTTATCATATTATGTAAAAATTCTAGAGGCAATAACAAACAGACCCGATATTTAGTGAATCAACAAGGACACTGACTCATTGCTGGATGAATAGAGAAGTCTCTGACATAACCTTAAGTATGATACAGGATGTGAGTGAACAAAAAAAAAAATCGCGTGTCACCTATCTTGATTTGGAAAAAGTATTTAACACAAAGAAACAGTTCAACAGCTTAGATTGTTTTCCCCTAGGATATGAAGATTAAACAATTTGGATGAAAAATCATTCTACAGCGTCCCAAGTACCATTCGGCTACTGAACTCCATCAAGTCATTGTATGTGTTACAGGCAAAACAACAACAACAACAACAAAATCTGAGGTGGTACCAAAGACCCCGAGGCATTGTATCGGTCAACAGAGCACCATATGGCAAGGCAAGCCACCCTTCAGACAGTTATCACTTGGTGGCTGATTAATTTCAATGGCTTATTAGACAGGCCTCTCCAGACTCCTTCCTAGAGAAAGAGGAGGAGGAGGGGAACGGTGTCTGTCGTCTTGCTGACGCTTTGTGTCTTCCAGGCTTGAAAGCGTCCTGGTGATGGAGCTGCCATCATTTCCCTTGGGGAGGTCTTTTCTGCAAGTTTTTGTTTACTAGGTATTGAAGCTAAAATTCCCTTTGGCTCTTCCCTTTCCGCTCACTCCTGCGGAGCGCGGCCGACGAGCCTTTCCACCTGGGGCTCTCGCCGGCGGTAATGCCACCCACCCCACCTCGCCTTGTTCCCCACGCGCGCAGGCATGCGGCCAGGTGGCCGCGGCTTACCCGTGGGTGCGCTATCCAGGATGCGCAGGTCGTAGGCCCCGGAGCAGCGGTAGTTGGCGGCGGTGCCGTTGTCCCACACCACCACCACCTCCTCGGGGCTCTCGAAGCTCCGGACAGTGCCCACATGGCCCTCGCCGCCGTCCTGTTTCCCCCACTTCCAGTCCGGGCCGCGCACTACCCGGGCCCCGACCCCTTCCACCATCACCCGGTTATTCCGGGAGTTACTCATCGGGGCCCGGACAGTGGGCTCTGCTGCTGCCGCCGCCGCTGCCGCCGGGGGACCCGTGAGGGAGCTGGACCCGGGCCGAACCCTCGGCGCCG